AAAAAAAAAAAATTGCTGGGCGTGGTGGTTTAAGCCTGTAATCCCAGCACATTGGGAGGCTGAGGCGAGAGGATTGCCTGAGCCCGTGGGTTCAAGACCAACCTGGGCAACATGGTGAGACCTCATCTCTACAGTAAATCAAAAAATTATCTGGGCGTGGTAGCGCACACCTGTAGTTCTAGCTACTTGGAAGACTGAGGTGGAAGGTTTGCCAGAGCCCAATAGGTTGACGCTGGGGTGGCCGTGAGTGTGCCACTGCACTCCAGCCAGGGCAATGGAGTGAGACTCCAACTCAAAAAAAAAAAATTATTTTCTTTGTTCTGCAGAGACTTTTCTTGGTCTCCTGGTGGTAACATAATCGCCTTCTGGGTGCCTGAAGACAAAGATATTCCAGCCAGGGTCACCCTGATGCAGCTCCCTACCAGACAAGAGATCCGAGTTAGGAATCTGTTTAATGTCGTGGACTGCAAGCTACATTGGCAGAAAAATGGAGATTACTTGTGTGTTAAAGTAGATAGGACTCTAAAAGGTACCCAGGTAAGTAGATGACAGTGGGAATAGGTTATTTCTCAACCTTAGCTCTTAAGTAGCTATCGTACTATTTGGCAGATGTTAATGGATTTTTAAATTCAAATTGTGGGTTATTTTGAGACCTACCTGATAACAGCTGACAAGCCTTAGCCAGGGATCTTGTCACATTCTAGCAAAAGAGTGTAATTTTTTAAAATAAAACTTGAATAGAGAATACATTCACATAATTTAGCATTCACAAGGGGATACAGTAAAACCTCCAGGCACCTAGCTTTCTTCTATATTGTTAGTTAAAATGCGTATATTACTGTTTTTAAGCACAAAGACTAGCATACTCTACGCTGTTCTTCCTGCACCCAGATTATTTTTTATTGTATCGTGTAATATTTACCTGATCAAAAAGTTGTCTGCATTTTTCTTCTAATAGAAGTATTGCTCTTCTCTCTACATTGAAACAATTTTTTATTGAGATACAATTCACATACCATAAAATTTACCCTTTAAAGTGGTGTGCCAATTCAGTGGCTTCTAATTGTGCAGCAACCACCAACTTCGGAATGCTTTTCCTCACCTAGAAAGAAGCATCGTGCCCATTAGCACTCACTCCCCATATTCCCCAGTTTCTGGTACCCACTATTCTCTATGGATTTCCCTATTCTGGACATTTCATGTAGGTGGAATCATACAGTAGGTAGCCTTTGTGCCTGACTTTTTTCATTGAGCATGTTTTCATGGCTCATCCGTGTTTTTGTTTTTTTTTGTAAATTTTTTTTATGAGTTGGAGTCTCACTCTGTCACCCAGGCTGGAGTGCAATGGCACGCTCTTGGCCATCACAGCCTCTACCTACTGGGTTCAGGCGATCCTTTCACCTCAGCCTTCCAAGCAGCTGGAACTAGAGATGTGCACCAGCACACCCAGCTAATTTTCTGATGTGTTGTAGAGACGAAGTCTCGCCATGTTGCCCAGGCTGGTCTCGAGCCTGTGGGCTCAGGCAGTTCCCTCGCCTCCGTCTCCCAGAGTGCTGGGGTCACAAGCTGGAGTCACCGCGCCTAGCTTCGTCCATGTTCAGCGTGTGTCCGGACTTCCTTTTAAGGCTGAGTGATAGTCTGTGCTGTGGATAGGCAACATCTTACTTACCCATTCGTTCATTGGTGGACATTTGGGTTGTTTCCACCTTTGGCCGTTGTGAATAGTCAGCGTGCTGCTTTTTGATGCAAGTACTTCTTGAAAGTCATGACTGCAGGGTATTCCACTGTCTGAAATGGCTTAGTCCGCCCCCACTGGTAGACCCTTATGGAGACCTCGGGACTTTGGTATGTCAGTTGCAGCCAGACTCCTTGGACCTGTTGGGGTGTGAGCATAACCGTGAGTGCAGTTCCTGGAAGTGGGATCTGGTCAGAGTAAATACACGTGCACATTCCCGAGAGACTGTTCTGATTCATGCCCCCATCAGCATTGGGTGCTTGCTGCGTCACTTCAGATGTCACGTGTGTTTGTCAGACACATAGATTTTATTAGGTTATCAAGTTGTCCTTGGATTTAAGCCTTTTTTTAAATGCTTTCAGTGTCCAGACTATCACCCTTCTCCATTTTTTTAAAACAGGGTGTTGTCACAAACTTTGAAATTTTCCGAATGAGGGAAAAACAGGTTCCTGTCGATGTGGTCGAAATGAAAGGCAAGTTTTATTTTTGTCACTTTCAGTTGAAAGGCTTTGTGTATGCTATTTTATATTTATCTTTTAGAACTTTAGTGTGAATTGATGGCCTGAGCAATGTGGTCAGGACAGAGCATGCTTGCAAGTGTTTTATGTTTTTTCATCCTTTTCAACAGCAGTCTCTTAGTTTGTCCAATTGCTAACTGATGATCCCCCACTTTGCCTCCGCATCCATATGACATATCTCAGAGGAACCAAGGGCCCTAGTCATTTTTCACACATAGGAGCACATGTGCAGGAACATGTTTTCATTCCATGTTCAGGGGACACAGCAAGATATGGTGGCTTGTCTTACAAGCAGAGTACATGGTCTCGGTAATAGAGCTTGTTCTGAAAACTTCTAAGAGTGTATGCTTATGTTTTGATTGTCCCTTGAATGAGTTACTGGTTGTGTGCAGTACCAATTTTTCTTTTTGACTTATTTATTTACTTTTTTAAAGATGAAGTCTTGCTGTATTACTCAAGCTGGTCTTGAACTCCTGGTTTCAAACAGTCCTCCTGCCTTGGTTTCCCAAGGTGTTCAGATTACTGTGCCCAGCCAATTTTTCTTTATAATGCAAAAATACATTAATGAGTATTTTAGAAAGCTAATTTTTTTTTCTTTGAATTGGAGTCCCACTCTGTCATGCAGGCTGGAGTGCAGTGCTATGCGCGTGGCCACCGCAGCCTCAACCTTCTGGGCTCAGGCTATCCTTCTGCCTCAACCTTCCAAGTAACTGGAACCATAGGCGTGCTACCATGCCCAGATAATTTTTTTTTTTGGTAGAGATGAGGTCTCAACAAGTTTTCCAGGCTGGTCTCGAATCCCTGGGCTCAGACAAGTCTCACCTTGACCTCCTAAAGTGTTGGGATAACAGATGTGAGCCACTGTACCCAGCCTAGAAAGCAAATTTTATTTCACTTGCTCAAAAATAGTCAATTGACTTATGAAACCCACTTAGTACTGTTTCTGTCTTTAGGTAGAACATTTTGCCTGTGTTTTGTTTGCTTAGTATTTTTTTGTTGTTTTGTTTTGCCATGGAAAAGAAGAGAAAGGAAGAGGAAAATACAGAGATGAGAATATGTGAAATCTGGCCACCCTGTCAGGGTAGAAAGACAGGTCACTGAATTCTACTGTAGGCACAACACTGAGTGGTAGAAAGGTGGTGTCCACAAGTGCCCCAGACCTCGGGCTCCCCATAGTACCTTGTGGGCATGACTCCTAGTTAGCGGAGTGGTTCCTGGTCTGCCGAGGGTAGAGTTTCACAGGTGTCTTCTAACACTAGTGGAATAAGATGCTTCTATAATGCTAGTGTATCTTTTCTTGCTATTCCTTACTCTAGGTTCCTTTTAATGAATTTAAAAATTTGGGGGAGCATTTCTCTGGCTTAAAAAAAAAATCAGTGAGCATTTAAACTGGTCTGGAATGTTGTATTCATAACTGGCCAAAAAGGGAGCTGACTGTATTTGTTGATTATAGAAACCATCATAGCCTTCGCATGGGAGCCAAATGGGAGTAAGTTTGCTGTGCTACATGGAGAGGCTCCACGGATATCCGTGTCTTTCTACCATGTCAAGAACAACGGGAAGATTGAACTCATCAGTAAGTTGTCTGGCCCCATCTCCCAAGCAGATGGGCCGCCTTTCCCTGACAAGTTAGCATATATAACGAGACACGGTCACTGCTCATCAGTGAGTATCTGACCGTCCTAGGAACACTACTGATCTGGCCTGAATTCACACGGAGATAGCCCACCATGGGCTCACCTGATACAAATGAGTGATGGAGGATGGCGAGGACTCACTTGAGCATGCCACATCTCAGAGCTCAGGCTTCTGTGAGCTCCTGTTGGGACCTTAGATTTGTTGTATTATTTTTTTGAGTTGGGATTTCACTCTGTCTCCCGGGCTGGAGAGCAGTGGCACAATCAACAGCTCCCTGCAGCCTCAACCTCCTGGGCTCAGGCAGTCCTTCTGCCTTAGCCTCCTGAGTGGCTGGGACTACAGGCACGTGCCACTATGCCTGGCTATTTTTTGTACAGATGAGGTTTTACTATGTTGCTCAGGCTGGTCTCGAATTCCTGGGCTCTAGCAGTTCTCCCACCTTGGCCTTCCACAGTGCTGGGATTATAGGCATGAGCAGACAGTACCTGGCCTGCCCTTAGATTTAGTGTTTCTGAGACTTTCATTCTCTGCCATTGTTTTGTGTGAAGTCTTTTCTCTTGTGGTTGTTGCTGCTGTCTCTGGACTTGGGGGTTCCTCCTTGTGGACATGCCCCACCCCTCCTCTGGGTTGGGTCCCTCTGGCCTGTTTGCAGGACAGACTGCAGAGCTGTGGTGTACAGCTGCCCTGCCCCCGTGCCCGGCTTCCACACTGCACCCACCAGGCCTCGCTCTCCTTGGTGACTGATGGCTGTCGTCTCTCACAGCAGCTACGCACCTTTGCTTCTTGCCCAGGCAGGCTCTCCGAGACATCTGTTTCTCTTTCTCCTTGTGTCCTTAGCGCTTCATGCAGAGGCTGGTGCCTGACAGAGACTCTGTAGCTACAGGAGAACTGAGTGAGTGAGTGTGGCTTCCTGAGCAGTTTTGCTTGTGTGGCAGCTGTAAGGCAGTATCAGGCTATGTTCAGCACACTCTTGGTCCTTCACACAGGACTCTGGCTGCCTGGTGCTCTGCCTGCATAGCCCTGGGATTATTCCGGTAGCCAGGAGGGGTATGTGCACCTTAGTGATACCTTTTCACAAGATAATCCCATAAATAATTTAGTTTTCACTTTGCTGGAGCATAGGAATGGCTGTGGTAGAATCAGTTGACTGTGTGTCATAAAATTGGTTATTATTAATTCCCTTTGATATAAAAAATGTGGGCTATTACAGAAGACTTCTGTTATACCTTGTTATAAAGTAGGTCATAAAACAGTAAGTAAAAGAGCCTCCTCCCTTCTGAAAGTTGTGCGTGATGCGTCTTTCTCGAGACCCTTGTGAGTGCTGACTCGTCGCTTGTGCTCCACGGCGTGTTTGTGGCTGTCGGGGCCTGTGTGCTTACACAGGTTTTCTTCAGGCGGGTCTGAGAGCCCTGCTCCTGCCTTCCCACATCCCGTCTCCCTGTCTGTCCCATGTTTCTTCTTTGAATCTGCTGCAGGCTGAAACGAAAGATACCCCAGATTGTTAGCTCTATCTGAAATGCAGTGAGTGTACTCTGAAAGGAGACTTGGAGCCCAGGATAAGCTGACCTTCAGTTCAGGGTCGGGGTTCCTTCAGGAAGTAAGGAGTCAGTATTTGGGATGATGATAAATGTGTAGTAAGTTCTTATGAACATACCACTTAAAAACACGTTTGTGCCACTAGAAGGGTGGCTTTTGCGCTGTTGAGCTCACACATCTCTCTGTCAGTCCACTTTCTGATTTAGAGTCACTGCAATAATGAATATCTAGGGGAATTCTTTGTCCAGTTACCTTGTGAAATTTATTTCGTTGTTTGTTTTTGAGTCAGAGTCTCACTCTGTCACCCAGGCTGGAGTGCAGTGACACAATCATGGCCACTGCAACTTCAGCCTGCTGGGCTCAGGTGATCCTTCCACTTTAGCCTTTCAAGTAGCTGGAATCAAAGGCACATGCCACCATGCCCTGCTAATTTTTTTTTATTTACTGTAAAGACAAGGTCTCACAAAGTTGTATAGGCTGGTCCTGAACCCTGGGCTCAGGCAATCTTCTCACCTCAGCCTACCAAAGTGCTGGGATTACAGACTTGAGCCACCACGCCTGGGTATCTTATGAGATTTTAAAAAGTAGTATTGTAGTTTTAAAATCCCCTTGCTCTGTTTTTTGGTTTTTTTTTTAAGTATGGATTGTAACTTCAGGTATACTTATTGATAGGTTTTCTGAAATTGTTTTTGGAAAGGCCCGTTTTTACCAGCTATGCCTGTAGGGGGCAGTGTGAACCCCTTGCCAAGCCCTTTGGTCTTGGCCCCACCTTGGCGGTGGAACCATTGACACAGACCTGTAATGTGTAATGAGTACTTTCTTTTCTTTCAGAAATGTTTGATAAGCAACAAGCAAACACCATCTTCTGGAGTCCCCAAGGACAGTTTGTGGTGTTGGCGGGTCTGAGGAGGTGGGTTTCTGTGGTCTGAGCCTGCCTGTGCGTCGTGAGTAGCGCTCTGCCTGCTGTGGCACAGCCATCACCCTGCAGCCTGTGCCTCACGCTTTTGGCTCTGAACCGTCAAGCGGTGCCCTTCTTCCTCGAGACTCTTGTTAGAGGGAATACTGTTGCATTGCGAGGATTATCCCAGTGCCAGTAGATGAGGGCATTATCATACCATGGTGTGTCCATCATGCTCCCAAGACTTAGGCCAAGACCAGGCAGATTAAAGTAATCACTCACAAATGCTTTCATTAGGCGACTGAGCAGACATGTCTGCATGTTGTAATTCCTTTGTGGTTAATCAAATACTTTCCCAGCAATCCAATTAGCCTCATATAAGTTCAATCCCATGTTTTCTGCAGGAAAAATATTTAATTGGATAGCTGTGTGACTGTTTTTACCTCTGTGGTTGGTGTAACTCTTGAGAATTTAAAATGGTCCTTCCCTTGATCCGTGACTGCACTGCTGTTCCCAGTGAATAGATAAAAATCTTGAAGAAGCTTCCAGCAGACACTTGTATTTTTGGAGGCTTGCCTAGCCTCGGATAACATTTCCTATTAAAAAAACAGTAACAGCAGATACATGCAGTACTTCCTGTGTGTACATCACAGGTCGTAATTCAGTAAATCTTCACACGGTGGCTGTGATTACTTTTACATTAAGGGTGAGGTGGCGGAGGCATGACTGTTGATGCCCGAGCCCACGTGGCCAGCTCCTTCAGTGCCTCTCGAGTGTGGAGTGTCAGGAGATGTGTGTCTTTGGGCAGAATGACGGCTGTGTTTGTCTCCACAGTATGAATGGTGCCTTAGCGTTTGTGGACACCTCAGACTGCACCGTCATGAACATTGCAGAGCACTACATGGCCTCCGACGTTGAGTGGGATCCTACTGGGCGTTATGTTGTCACCTCTGTGTCCTGGTGGAGCCATAAGGTACGGGGACCGTGTAGCCTTGCTGCAGAGTGAAACCAGGAAGTGCTGACTGGCAGCTGGCTCTTGTGCTGGCCTGGGACCTCAGGGAAGGAGCGCCAAACCTGGTCTTGACTCCCTCCCCTTTCCCCATCTCATCAGAAAAAACTTGAATTCTGTTCTCAACTTCTTGGGATCCTCATCTTTGTCTTTGGCAAAAGCCTTGAGGTTGGTGTTAGTGGAAGCAGGAGGAGGATTCTGGGATTGTTGAAAAGGCAGAGCTGTGTGCAGTAGCATACTGCTTGTGGGTGGTGTCTTATCCTAGGTCCCAAAGACCCTGAAAGAAGTGAGGATATGTTCCACATGAACGTCTTTCTGGGGAGAAGACCCATTAACAATTTATTGAGATTTTGACAGTTGAATTAGTTCATGTAAACAGAGCCTATGAGGTATGTTTAATGAGATAGTGATCTTTTAGGAATACCAGCTTGCCAAATATTATAGAAAAATCTTTGAGCAGAAAATCTTGAATAGAAATCTTTGCGTTTGGATCAGGATGTTGACCGCAGCTTAGGTCCAGATATGTCATGCAGTGGGACATACCTTTACACTTAAAGTCCTTTTCAACTGCTGACTACTGTTTTGAGTACACACACTTAGCTCCCAAGTGCTGCTCTTATAGCAAGGAGATTATGTGGAAATTAGGGCACTCATTCCTTCATTGAGAAAGTATATTAAAAAAAGACGAACTAAACAGTGTGTTTAGTGATATCATTAATTGTATTCTGGTTCAGGTTTCTTGCTATAGACAAGTAATGAACAGGCCTGTGCTTCGGTTAGCACTGTTCTAACTGCTGTATAGTCTGCATTCTGTAACTGATTACATAATCTATGAGGTTTTTTGTTCACTGTCTCCCCTTGCTGAGATGTAAGCTGAATGAAGGCAGGGAGCTTTGTTTGTTCACTCATGTGTCCCAAATACCATGGACCTTGTTTGGGTATTGAGATAGTTGGTGGTGTTGGCTCTGTTGACAGTAAAGGTTCTAGGACCCCTCTCTGTCTAGGTGGATAATGCATACTGGCTGTGGACTTTCCAAGGACGCCTTCTGCAGAAGAATAACAAGGACCGCTTCTGCCAGCTGCTGTGGAGACCTCGGCCCCCAACACTCCTGAGCCAGGAGCAGATAAAGGTCTGGCATCCCCTCCAGGTTCAGGGCGTGTAGAGGCGATTGTGGCATTAAAAGCAGAATAGTTGATTTTTTTGTTAGGGTGGTCATGGGTAGGGAATAGAAACATGACGTTTATAGAGACCCTTTGAAAAGATGCAGGAACAATGAAAACTAAATGGAAAATGGGAGTCTTAGGACAGTGAACTTAAATTTTCAGATTGTTTTAAGAAAGTTTTGCATGAGCTGGAGGGGTGGATAGAAAGATGTCAGTGCTACTAAAAAGTCCTAGTGGGATTAGAAGAGACTTGTCTGGGATTTACATAATTTTGATGAAATGGGCTGATGGTATTAGGTCAAGCTAAGAGGAGCGTTAAATCCCACAAAAGGAAGTCTGCCTTGACAGAGTGAAACTTGGAGAGGAGCATGTGGGAGCACTGGGGAGCCACATTCTACTAATCATTGAGGGTGTCATGTCACACCGGGAGCTTTGAAGATTGCGTTTGTGGTTCTTGCTTTGAATGTTAAATCCTGAGTGACTGGTCTTTTGTTTCAGCAAATTAAAAAAGATCTGAAGAAATACTCCAAGATCTTTGAACAGAAGGATCGTTTGAGTCAATCCAAAGCCTCAAAGGTGAGCCTCGTTCCTGGAACTAAGGGCCCTGCTGAAGACAGCCACATCTCCTGTCATGGCAAAGAACCAACATCAGGGCTGCAAGGGAGGGGTGCTGGTGTGTCTGCTCAGGAAGAAGCAGAAGAGTTGCTTCTACCTTAAAGAAACTGACTTGTTCTGCTACACGCCAGGGTAGACGCGGTGAGGTATTGAGGGTGGACACAGAACTTGGACCTGGCAGCCTCACTAGCCCTGTGGGTGGGCAAAGGTGGGAGGGTCAGCGTCAGAGATGGAAAAAGGAGAACGAATGGGTCAGCTGCCATTCCTGCCTAAAAGGTTCTCTTTAAGTGAAGTCTTTCTGATGCCATCTGATGAGGTGTGGGTTATTTGTGGCAAAATATTTTTACTGTAGCAAAGCATGATGGTGAATTAAGTGTTAGTTTGTGAACTTTCCTCCAATTTTTTTATAGGAATTGGTGGAGAGAAGGCGCACCATGATGGAAGATTTCCGAAAGTACCGGAAAATGGCCCAGGAGCTCTATATGGAGCAGAAAAATGAACGCCTGGAATTGAGAGGAGGTATCTTAGAGATTCTTCAGTAACCCAATAAGGAGGTGGTTCCTGTGGCCCCACTGGACTCTTGGCTGGCCCCTGGGCCATATCACGAGTGTGTACACCCTATGGGTGACCCTTGCTCTTTTGTCCCCTCAGGGGTAGACACAGATGAGCTGGACAGCAACGTGGATGACTGGGAAGAGGAAACCATCGAGTTCTTTGTCACTGAAGAAATCATTCCCCTTGGGAATCAGGAGTAATCTGGGAGCACCGTGGTAAGACTCTCCAGACAGGGACGGTCACTCTCCTGGCAGCTTTTTTGTACGGCTTCTATTACCCCCCTGGGTTAGAAAATACCTTGTTGAAGGGATGAGCAAAGATCTACCTTCTTGTACCCAGGATCAGTAGAACTTTGGGTGGAATATGAAGGGTATGGGAGCCAGCCTTGGACTGGCAGAGCTTTCTCTGAACGTGTAGGAGATGCTTCTTTGAGGTAGTGCTGGGTTACAAATGAGCTGTGGCCAGCTAACAGACAGTGCCCAGGAGGAGGAGGGAGGCCAGCACCTGATCATCTCCAGGTGTCCTTGCTAGTAGGCAGTCTGGGTGTGTCCACAGAAAGGAAGGTTGTCCTGGGCAGCCATGACTCCCAGTCCTGGCCAGTCACCAGTGTGTTCCAAGATACTAGTCTTCAAGATCTGGTGAGGTGTGCAGAGGGCACAGAGGCAGAGCCGTAAGACTTTGAGTGCTTGAGAAGTGCTTGGTTGCTGTGCCCAAGGCAGGGAACCATTCATGGCCAACATGAGCAAGTGCTGGTAATGCCTGGATATAGCTCTGTGGCAAGGCTGCTGCTACTGGTCCTGGGGCTGCGTGTCGACTCCAGCATCAGTCCACACAGGTCTTCAGGGTCCTTCCAGCTGTTCAGGATCTAGCGTTGCCATACCAGCTTATCCAGGAGGTGGGCCCCTGATGTTCTAGCTGTTTGCTCGTTAAGGGGCAGGACAAAGAGTAAACCTGGCTCCTCTGTTTCAGCGTCCCCCTATCTTGTGCTGGAACTGAGGCCATCCTCTTGCAGAAAGCCTACGCAACTCCTGAATTTATACCTGTGCTTTCTCTCACGCTGGACTGTGAATGCACCTGGGATTCTTCATCTTGACACATTTTTGTGCCTTTAAACCCCTGGTGTCCACAGTGGGGAGGTTTTAAGGCACTGCTTTCACTTTTTTCTTGTTTGGGGTTTTTTAATCAATACCACCAGTGTTTGCTACCTAGACTCTTACGCAGTGCTACCTGCAGGCACCTTTTTGTTCCTGCAGTCAGTGGTATACCCAAGGTGATCATCCACAGCTGAGCGATGTTTCTGTTCAAGAACTTTTGCTGTCCCGGGCATGGGCCAGTGCTGGGTGTCCTGGAGACCAGCCGGGGGCCGCGCACTGCTTGTGTCCCAGTGTGCTGTTCCCCTGCCATTAAGGTTGTGGCAGGTTCTCTCAACAGGTTGAATGTGGAAATAAAAGCAAACCTGTATGAAAAAGCTGTCTTTCTCCTCTCTTTGAATGTAGATAGTGACCTTGAACTTGGTGCCTATCTCCTTCCCCAGTGGTGAGGGCCTGCTTGCCAAGCCAGGCCTCCGCTGGGCGCCGTCACACTGGGTTGTACCGTGCACATCTGGCTGACAGTAGGATGGGAACATCCAGCCTCCTCCTCTGCTCTGTGTGTCTAGCTATGCATTAATCCAGTCAGTGCAAACCACAGTTTCTGTTTTTCTTGCTTTCATTGAAAACAGTGCTTATATTTTACCTGATGAGAACCCTTTAGACTTCCTTAGAGTTGGACACATTGGAAAATTTGTGTTGAGAGTGGCCATTTTAGCCATTACTACATGGTTCTTTTTGAATATTTAGTTTCTTTTTTCATGTTGAGAAGGGAGTGAACAAACACGTGTAATTTGAAGTCCATTTTTGTTTGTGATGTCTTTGTGCCCATCAGTGCCTTGTGAAATTGCAGTTTCTTCCACCTCCTTTTAAATCGTGGAACCTGCTGCTGAGCTTAAGCAGCACAGACAGGCACACTCAGTTCAAGCCAGAGGATGTTTGCAAACCCGAAGCAGTGTTTTGAGGTTGGCGGAGACACAGCAATGGACAGAGGGCAGAGGACAGAGGCAAAATGCTGGCCCTGAGAAGCCGGAGCACTGCTGTTGAGAGTGATTACCAGTCTTGGGATCCCCATGGACCTGTCTCGGAGTCTCAAGGCTGCCTGCCCCTGGCCGTCCATGGAGGCCTCAGAGCTGATGGGGTTCCCTGGTGTAAGGAAGGCACTTTGTGCTTTCCTTTCTCGTGAGCCTTACGTTTCTCTTCTCATCTGCGACTTTCCTAAAATCCTATCATTGTTGCAGTGCTATCATTTAGCTCTTCCTATGCCCTTTAGTACACATTTAGCCAGTAATTTTGTTTACTCTCATATCCTTTAAACTCCAGTGTGCCAAGAAACACTTTTTCTAGTTTCGTGGAAGGAAGAAAAAGGCATACAGTTCTATCGAAGCAACAGATTTTTATCAGAGGCTTTCAAATACTTAACTTTTCACTGTTTTAAACTTACTAGTTGTGTTTTACATAATTTGTAAATAAAGAGTTTCTGAAACACACGTGCCTGTTTTAACTTTTCTACCATAGAAATGGATTTCCTAGGGCCAGCCTTTTGTCGAGAGGGTTCCAGAGTGTTGGTGTCCCCAGTGCTCTGGACCTGGGGTCTTGGGGTGGGCCTGGGGCCCATGCTGCAGGCTTGGTCTTGATTGTATCTCTGGAGGCCAGAGGCAGTCATGACGAGAGTGCTGGAGCACCTAGACCTGTGTTCCATCAGGTGCCTTGGTCATATCCTGCAGCCTGGTCGTCGCTTTAGAGGGCGGGGACACACACTGGAGGGGTGTTCCCCCTGTGCTTCATTCATGTGGCAGGGACTTCCTGCAGCTCCACGTGGACCTGGGCGCCGAGGAGGAGGTGACCCAGCCACACGCACGCTCTGGCCTTGCACAGCTCAGCTGCCAGATGGCTTGAGAACGAGACACAGTTGCTCTTGGGTGAGCTGACTGGAGCACTTGAGCAAGTTGCCCAACCTGGCAGGAATGGGTCCCTGGGGCCGTCACCTCTGTAGCTAGAGTCACAAAGTAGACTTCTCAGATTTTAACTCTGTGGATCCGATTTTTGTATGATTTCTGTCCACACAGGAGTTTTCTGTTTTCAGCACCAGCCCTGGCTCTTGATGGGACACCGGTGTTGTCTTAACCTCTGGTTAGCCACACACCTGGTAAGGAGGCTTCCTCTTGGCTGTGAAGGTTCACGGTGCAGTGATACCTCCAGAGATGGCAGTGGAAAAGTTGAGCAAAGCATTTAAGCAGTGGGCGTGCTGTCAGGCCTCGGTACAACACAGCCTAACAGCATAGGGAAAGAGACTAGAATCACGCCTGACAGCAGAGATGTGGTTGCATGCGCATGCTGCTTTTGAAAGCCATCTTCGGAAAAGCGTTGTGGCTAAAGCTGAGTGATGCTTAACCTGTTGGCATTTGTCCCTTTTGGTGTAGAAGCTTCAGGGGTACCTTGGGCTGTGCGAGAAGGGCCTTTGGGGTAGGTGGCGCCTCTCCTGGACTCTAGATGGGAGAGGGACCCTACCCCGCAAAGAAGAGGCGTCAGCTCCTGTTTATGCCATCCCGGCAGATCTCACCTGTGGACCAGATGAGGAGCCTAGAAATCCCAGGGTTGCCTTGGTGAGTGTTTAGAAAGGCTGCCTCTGGTGCCTGGTGCTGTCCCCAGGCACAGATGAGATCAGGAGGGCTGTCCTGCTGCCCAGGGCTCCACCACGTGAGTGGTGCTCACCTAGTTCCCCTGAGACCTAACTGATGTCACCTGGGCGGGGTGGGGCTGAGCGTGGACAGGTCTCTGCCAGGAGAGCAGGGAGCACATCCTACCTGCCATGTCCCTCCGCTGCCTGCCCTGCTAGGTTGCTGGACCCTCCCTGGCCTGGGGCAGTCTCATTTTAAGGGAGATGGAGCTCAAGCACCAGCAGCTGATGGCGAGTAAGCCCTGACAGCCCCCACCTTCCTGGCCAGCTCCAGTGCCCCCTGCTGGGTCTCAGCCATGTCCTGAGCTCAGGGCCCACTTCCACTCCTTGGTTCCCACTCCCTTCCACAGCCTCCAGACCCACTCTTCACCCCCGCCATCCCCAGGCTGTCAGAGTCTGGGCCGGGACTCCCAGTTGGGGGGAGGTGTGCACCGCTCCTCAGCCCTCTCCCTGGGCCTATGCTCCTCTGTTGGGTGACTTGGATCCTCAGCCCACTTGGCAGTTGGGTGAACTGAGGCCAAGGGCTTGCCGCAAACCTGTAGCTGAGTAGGGAGAGTGTCCCCCTGCCCCCTGTCACGACTACCCCTCAGAGGACCATAGCTGCCATTTCTACCAGAGAAACTTAGCGCTACAGAGGAAGAAATTGGGGTCCATAGGCTGGCGGGTGGCTCGTGTGGTTGGGGTGGGTTTGAGACCCGGGGCCTGTCTGTTTCCAGAGGCCTTCTGTGGCCTCCTTCAGGGGAGCAGGGCAGAGAGTGCACACACAGGTGGAACCTACCAGTTTCTACTTGTGAAACTCCCTTAAGAAAGCGTCCAGCCAGGCTCGGTGGCTCAGCCTGTCATCCCAGCACTTTGGGAGACCGAGGCGAGTGGATTGTTTTGAGCCCGCGGGTTCGAGACCCACCTGGGCAACTTGGCGAGACTGCATCTCTACAATAAATCAAAACTTTATTGCCGGGCGTGGTAGTGCATGCCTGTAGTTCCGGCTACTTGGAGGGCTGAAGTGGAAGGATCGCTGGAGCCCATCAGGTCAAGGCTGCGGTGGCCAGGAGTGTGCCACTGCCCTCCAGCCTGGGCGACAGACTGACTCCAACTCAAAAAAAAGTGTCCAGCATCCCCTCTGGAGTGAGGTGGGACTCTCCCTCCACAGCTCTGATCTTGGGCAAGTTAGTTCACTTCTCTGTGCCTCAGCCTCCCATCTGCTCAGCGAGGGTGATGGTGACCATGTACTCGAAAATTTGTGTTGAGAGTGGTCGTTTAGGAGCAACTCCATGTCCGTGTAAGTTAGAGCTGAGTCTGAGGGCGCTCGGGCTGAACTGCCTTGACCACTTCGCTGAGCAAGGTCACGAGGGAGACGGCTTGGGCTGGTGGATGTGGGATTTGAGCAAGAACCGAGTGCAGCTGCCCGAGTGGCCTGCCCGCAGGTAGCACTTCAGATCTGCCCACTCAACAACGCAGAACTGGAGGGAGGAGCCGCTGTCATCGCCCACAAACTGGGGGACCAGGTGAGGCGGGGCCCAAAGGACATGTCCAGGGTGGCCACAAGGCTCACCCTGCCGTGCAGGCTTTTCCCTGTTGGTCCCATGAGCGCACGCAGCGGCCGGGCTCTGTCTCAGGCTGCCCCACTGAGCTCAGCTTTTAGTTGGGACTGGGGGCAGACAGGAGTCGGGAACCCGGAGTCCAGGTGGTCAGGAAAGGCCTCCAAGGAGACCACTTTTGAGCAGGGCCCCAGGAGGTGGGAGGAGTCAGGGAGAGCCCGACAGCAGGGCGCATGACTGGTCCAGGTGACTGCTGCGCAGTGGGGTAGGGTGCTCACACACTGCCCGTGGGGTTTCTGCTGCTCGGAAACAGGCTCAAAAACTGAGCTGGTGGCAGTTTAGAGAATTTTTTGCCTTTGGTGGTTACTTGCAAGACCAACTGCCCAGTTGGGGGTAGAACAAAATTTTGTCACGGGGATTGGATGTTCCCATTTTCATTAGAGGCTACGTCCATGAGGGATGACCCCTGCTTCCTGGGAAGAGGACCCAGAGGGAGAGCCCACCCTTGCCCGTGGGGGGTGATGGCAGGCGCAGGTCCAGCAGGTCAGGAGACTCAGGTGCCACACCTGGAGGAGGATGAAGTGGACAGGACGTTTGTGGTGTGCACACATTTCCAGGTGTGGACGGGGGCGAAGAGGCCAGGCGAGTGAGTGTGGAGTCTGTAGAGCACGATGCCAATGAAGCAAGACCACTGTTCCACGGAGGGGAGACGACAAGCTTTGCAGGAAAGGCGATGCTGTGCTGTGAGGAGAGTTTCCACCGTCTCAATGTGAGCACGGGGTGTGATCTACTAAACCCGTGATACGACTGCACTGGGATGTAGGGTGTGGGGCATGGGAGGAGTGTGCAGAGAACTGATGGGGCACCGTGCCCGTGCCATTCAGCAGGCTGGTGACAAGGACCCAAGGCATCAGCTGAAGGAGTTGGGCCGAGGAGAGTGGGCAGGGACGGCAGCATCCTGGGAGCTCGGTGGTGCTCTTGGTGTTTAGGTGACTTGCCTGTGTTGCTAATAAAAATAACGGTAGTCATAAGAAGGGAGAGCCCTTTTTTTGTCTTTTAGGGCAAATAATAGTAATTTGCTGGAATTGATAGTAACTTACTTTTTTTTTGAGTTGGAGTCTCACTCTGTCGCCCAGACTGGAGTGCAGTGGCCGCTCCGGGCCACCTAGCTGGAACTACAGGCACGTGCTACCATGCCCAGCTAATTTTTGATTTATTGTAGAGATCTCGCCAAGTTGCCTGGGCGGGTCTCGAACCCATGGATTCCCAAAGCGCTGGGATTACAGTCTGAGCTACCGAGCCTGGGCTTTTTTTTTTTTTTTTGAGTTGGAGTCTCACTCCATCGCCCAGGCTGTAGTGCAGTGGCACCCACCACTCGCCACCCCAGCGTCGACCTGCTGGGCTCCGGCGATCCTTCTGCCTCAGCCTTCCAAGTAGCCAGAACTACAGGCATGTACTACCACACCCGGTTAATTTTTGATTTATTGTAGAAATAAGATCTTGCCAAGTTGCCCGGGCTGGTCTCGAACCCCACAGGTTCAGGCAGTCCACTCGATGCTGCCTCTCAAAGTGCTGGGATTACAGACTGAGCCACCGAGCCCAGCCAACAGTAACTTTCAAATTCGTGTCACCAGTCCCCAGCGTCTTGTGCTTCTTGCCCACCGTGGGAGCCAACTGCTCTTCCAGGGTGTTTCCTGGTTGTCCCTGGTGACTTCTGGTTGTGTCTGATTGCATCCGTGTGTGGAGCAGAACTCCGCCTTCTGTCTTGCCTCCCCATGTTTGCCTGGTAATACAACTAGAAGGGAACTGAGGCACACCTGAGAGCAGTTGTCCCCTTGGAGGGTGACCAGTTGGTCTCAGCCATAGGCAGCTCAGTGGGTGTCATTGCTGGGGTCTGTTCATGTGGGATTACTTTGAAGCTTGGTCTCAGGCTTCTGACAGCAGGAGAAGCATCTGGAACAGGAACAGACTGCCTACAGCAAAGCTACCCAGCGATTCCTGAAGCTCAGGGTGCCTTTCTCCTTAGAGTGAGAATTCCTCCCCATTCCCTGGCTTTGGGATCATGGGGCATTAGGGAAATAGCACACTTCTGGATTTCCTGGGAGAAGGGCTGGGGTTGGGAATTGGACCTTGAAACAGGTGCAGGAAACAGGACATCATGGGAACTGGAGTTGTTTTTGCAAGTTGGAGCTTTAGATTTCCTTTTGAAACCTGAGGGATGAGAAGATTGGCAGGTGTGCTTGACAGAGGTGTGTTCAGGTGACATGGGGAC